ATGAAGAAAATGATAAATATTAACTACAACTAAATTATTTAATTGATCAATATTAATTCGAATAGTGCCTCCACAGTTATGATACTAAATTCTAATATTGATTAGTTCGTGGTTTTTTAATTTTTAATTCATCTCGACTATTGCAATAGTAAATAAATATAACTAAATTATTCAACTGTTTATATTTATGATAGGTCCATAAAAAATGATCAGCCTTGGAAATACGATCAACTAAAAATTGTGCAACTTCTTTATATAATTGTTTTTCTGAATCCATATCAATAGAATTTACTAGTTGATCTAATATTATAAAAATCTTTTTTCAAACAAAAAATCACTTAAATCATAATCTATTGGAAGTGTCTCAAGTATATGATCTACAATATTTTCTGGTACTATTGTGTTTCTTTGATTTTGTGCTATATTTTCTTCCTGTTTTTGGTTATATTTTAATATAATTTTTGAAGATATTTGTGTTTGACAATCAAGACATGTTTTTGCCTCTTTTGTATTTGCGTTTTTTCCTTTTTTAAATGCTTCTTTTGGCTTTATAACATAACAACATTCACACTTCTTCATTATGTTTTAATAACTTTCATATCAATAAAAATTTTTTATTTAATATAAAAAATAATTATATCATAATTCATATAATATTACATGATCTGAAAAATTTTTGGGTGGTGATTTAACCCCAGTTGTGATATGGCTATAAACTCTTTAACTCATTAACTCTTATAGCAGTACAGGTTTACCATTATGTAGTTATAACGAAGTTTAGACTTTTTATTTCCCTTTTTTTTGTTTAATATAAATAAGTGATATTTTTTTTAGTTTAATATAAATAAGCACTTTTTTTGTTATATATCAGATATATATATATATATATCGTAAAATAGGTGAAGAAAGCGCACTTGATTCATTTATTAACCTTATTGAACTTACCTCTTCGACTTCTCAAAATACATTTGAATCTGAAGCACTTTCGGAAACAACCAACCACCCTCTAAAACGAATAACATCGGATCCCTTTTGGGATGAACTTAATAAAACCACCAATAAGCGACAATGATAAATCTTATTCATTAGATACAGGCCTTTTTCACTATTATTGTGATATGCAAAATTATGTGAAATTTGAAGATCATTAAAAAAAAAAGCAATCACTAATTTCTGATTACTGATTTTCA